CATAAGGTAGTGCCCACCACCTACACTAATTGTGTCTTATGTACACTCTAGTGTTAAACCGGATATGCATCATGCTGCTGAACTCTATGGTGCCAACTATACCATTGTCCCTCATTGACTTACATGGGCATATAATCTATTTTTATTCCATCCATGACAATGTATATCAATATAATTTAGCATTTGGACAATTCATACCCAAAATAACATCCATGGAAATACATCATATATAAACTTAGTGATCAATGCATTTTATATTCAACTTTTGACATATTTAAAACATGTCAAGTATATGATAAATGACATAAATATCATGTCAATATAAACAAGGTAGACTCATTGCAAGTCTTCCTAATGATGTATAAAACATCCATGTATTATTATTTCATGCATGCATTGCACTCACTTTGACACTTTATATATACAAGTAAAAATATAAGCCTCACTAAGCTTTAACTTAATCCTTTGCTTTCAATTTGATTCGATCCTAAAATTTATCAAAATTTCTTATTATTGCAGTTTGCAGTATCTTCAAAGAAATATTATTCTTTAGTAATATACACATTTAAAAATTATTCTGTTACACCAATGGAAAGTATACTTGAATATGAATATAATATAAGGAACTTCTCCTAGTTCAATTTGTACGATTTATATTGAATTTTCAAAGTTGACTCACAAAAGTTGTTTTAAGCATAATCTACCGCCCTGCTTTCTGACCTATCATCGATTAAAATTCATATCTTTTCGTAAACTCCTAGAAATCATTAGGAATTTGTTTTAAACAAAACTAGACTGATATATGATTCCAATGCTATAAAAATCATCCTATAATCATTTTTTAAAAAATTATTGTGATTTTTAAACTTATTGTTTACAAATTAGCAGATTTCAGTAATTTGTATCCTTATCTTATTCCATAATTCTATGAGCATATATTCATGCATCACAAATCACATAATATTTAGGAGTCACTTCTTACCATAGTAACATTGTTACTAGCTCATCGCAAGCCAATGTTTGTTCAATAACATAAGTACAAATTAAATAGACACTTACCAACTGTTCTTAGCATGCAACCTTCCTTAGAAATTTGTATTTAATCCTTAAGCTTTTCCTTTCCTTTAGTATTGTTTCATCTTGATTTCAATCATAATCTAAATGAACACCATTTACAAAACATGTACAATTCAACCCACATGTTAGAATCTTACTAACATAGGTATACATTAGAAAATAAATTCATAAAAATCTTCCGATGCTCATTCGATACAAATTCCATGTCACAATATAAATGTTGATATTAGAACTTCTAATTGACCATTAAGTTCCTTTTTATCCAAATTTATCCAAATTTTACATAACATTTTAACGTAAGTTCCCAACTTTTTCATATTTGTGATTCGATCCTCAACTTTTACCAACTTTCCAAAATGGCTCAATTTCACATTCTAACATCAATTTCCAGCATAGTAAAACAATTATTGAATAATTAAATATTGACCCTACTTTTCAATAATTACCAAATAGGTCCCCTAACTTTCACAAAATTATAAATTGGTACAAACAACATTCTAAAGCTTGTAGAACCTTCCAAATATCATTTCTAACCCTATGAATTTTTTTCCTTATTTGTATTCTTTAGGTAAAAAATCTAGGGTTAGGGATTCATATGTTTTCAACTTGATTCAAGCATGAATTCAACCTATAAACAACATTTCAAAGCTTCTACAATCAAAACCCTAACATAATTTATCAAAATCGCTTCTTCCTGAAAACCCTAGGATTTGGTCGAACCTATTAGAGCTTGATTTCAAGTGTTACAATCAACATACAAGCTTGGAAACAACTCTACAACATCAAAATCTATCATCAATTCATAAAACCCTAACTTCACCTCCAACCCCCAAATTTAGGAACTAGGCATTTAAAGAAAGATTAGCATGCATAATTGGTACAAAATGATAGAGCATTTCTAATAGAAAATTTGTATATTTCACGTTTTAATCCAAAATCCTAAAGAAATTGCTTGAAAATGAAAAATAAGTTTTTCTCCATACCTTGTGAAGCTCATGTCCATGGTTGATTTTGAAGAATAATTGTCATGATATTTCTAGTTACTTTCATGTACATTTGACATTAACTTAACTTAATTGAATTAAAAATTCATTTAATGTGAAATGACAATGTTGACCTTAATGAAACTTGATAATTATATCCATACCTTGATACATAATAATTATCATCTTCCAAGTCAAAGATTAACAAATTATTCTTCCCTTTAAAACTTTACCCATGCACTTTTCCAAAAATTTCAATATTGCCATTTTTCATCCAACGATCCAAAATGAACATGGAAATAAATTCTCAAATCCAGTGATCTATATAATTTTCCATCATTTTAAAATGTGGAAATAATATTTATAAGCTTAATTTATCATCCTTCAAATTTTCTCAAAATTTCTATTCGATCCAATTTATCAAATTTTTACCGGACTTTAACACTTTATAGCTTTTAACACAAATTTTGGATCAAAAATTTTATTCCCACAAAAACTCATTTTTGGGAGTGAACTATTCATTTATGGGATAAAATTATTTTTGATAAAATTACCTCTTTGGTCCCCAAACTTTTCAAAAATTTATACTTTGTCACTAAACTTTCAAATTTTTTGTTTTGGTCACTAACCAAAATTTTGGGGTGTTACATATTTGGCCGAGTATTATTATAAGCATGGACAATAATAATATGTTCAAGGCTAACATGTAATTGATTAATGACAATGAGTTGTCATTGACATAGGGATGTCAAAATCGATACATGAGTGTGTTGTTAGAGAATAACATATTGGATTGACATGTTATGAGCATATGTCTTGGATTATTATGTTACGATCACAACATTTTTCATGGTGATGACTACATGTATGATCCTTAGACTTGAGATCATTACTATATTAAAATATATTATCGTATGTTTTGACACAGTTAAACGTACTTCGTAATCGGCTGCATTATAAAGACTGAAGTTGAACATATCATGATATATGTAGTGGGATGAGAGTAATCAAGATAGGATTTGTCCTTCATAGATAATAAGATCTATATCACATGCCATTTGATTCAGTGATACTAGAAATGCTTGAACAAGTTGATACGAGATATCACAAGTTTTTCATTCACAACTTGTTCATTTATTATAGTATACTCTAGACATCAAGAAATATTATATGGGTTATATAAGTGTGATTGTTTCAAGATTTGTGCCTAATCTAGATATAATGGACAAAAAAATATAATGCATAAAATAGTTAGTCACAAAGAGGTTATGTCGAATCATGACTTCTTGTAACTTATGTGACAATGATACATTGCTAGATGTCACTCATTGTTTGTATTATTAGAATGCTTCTAATAATTACAACTAATGTTACAAGAACCTACAAGGTCATAACCCAAGGTTGAAGTGACCAAATAATAAATAATTGATATTTTTACAATTTTATTGTACATGAATAAAGTATACAATTAAAGTTAATATATATATATATATATATGTGTGTGTAATTTTAGTTATCTCGAATATACTAAATAAATATTAAAAGAATATAATTATGATTATAATTCTTATAATATATAAAAAATAATAATAATAATTTAGAAAAAACCCTAAGGGTTAGGGTGATTATTGTACAAAAGGAAAAAGATGGTCTAGCAGCTGCTATACCATTTTGACGAAATTTCTCCAAAATAGTTTTGAGGAAAGAAAATAAATTGCTCTCAATAAGATGAACTGGGTAGAAGCCAAGATAGTTTCGTGGAGCCTTAAGACTTGAATTGATCATGACTACACTGTTGGTTTGCCGTTATTCTAAGAACCAAGGTAAATCACACATCATTTCTTCCCAAATTTGATTTTTCGTACATGGATCATTTGTGAGATTGTCGAATTATTTTTTTGCTACCCCATTAGGTGTACCGGCAATCCCTATAAATTTTATTCATCGTATTCCAATCTTATTACCGAGAACATCGCTCGTTCATTCTCCAACTATTCTGAGCACAACACCATTTTGATTTCTCACGACAGAACATGAACAAAGGTATCAAAATGAGTTTTTCATCCATGAGTTTTGCTTGGAGTATATATTTGATTTTTCCTATGTGGAAGACCTCCATGTATTTTCTTATGTGTATGACACCATCGTCAAAATCAAGTGAGAGATGTTTTACTCTTACCCCGATAATATTGTATCGGAGTTCGTATGGGAGTTTTATAGAAACCTTACGAGCAAGTAGTAACTTTTGGTCTACATGAGGGAGAAAATGGTCGAGTAGTGGACAAAGGCAATTAACAAGCTATTGAAGAATGATTCAAAGTCATCATATTTTTAGTATTGACTGTTGTGGTTCCTTATTTTTCTGATTTTATTGTTATTTACCTACAGTAGTGGTTCATTTTTTCTGTTAGTTTGTTGTGTTGTCAATCCTATATAAGGCCTATGTTTGTTCCATTCTAAGCATTGAATAAAAGTAGAAAGTTCCTTCATCTAAAAGTCCATTGTTTCTTTTTTATTTTTCTACATTTTTTGCATCTAGAGCCAAGTTCGTTTGTAGCTGGGATTTGTAACAAATGGCGACTAACGGAAATGTCGTGAATATATCTCAACTATCGATTCCAGTCTTCAACGGAGAAAGCTATGAGTTTTGGAGCATCAAGATGAAGACCTTGTTCAAGTCTCAAGATCTTTGGGACTTAGTTGAAAATGGCTATACCGAACCAGATGAAGAGGCGAAATTGATAGAAAATAAGAAGAATGACTCAAAGGCATTATTTTTTTTAATCCAGCAAGCCGTTCATGATACTATTTTTTTTTTAAATTGCTATAGCAAATACAGCGAAAGAAGCTGTGGGAATCTTGCAAACAACATTTTAAGGCTCCTCTGAGGTAATGAAGATAAAACTTCAATCACTTTGTCGGGATTTTGACACCTTGCAGATGAAAGGTGGAGAGCCGGTGCAGGATTTTTATCCAGAGTTGTTGAAATTGTCAACAAAATGCGGTCTTATGGGGAGGATATTAATGATCAAACAATTGTTGCAAAAATTTTAAGGAGTCTCACTCCTAAGTTTGATCATGTAGTGGCTGCCATAGAAGAATCCAAAAACCTGGAAACATTCACATTTCATGAGTTGATGGGATCATTGCAGTCCCATGAGGATAGGCTGAACAGAACGGAAAAGAAGACCGAGGACAAGGCTTTTTATGTGAGAGGGGAGGCATTTCCCCAGAAAAATGAACAAAAATGGCGAGGTCAAGTTGGATCTCGTGAACGAGGAGGTTGCGGCAAAGGACGAGGCCAAAGCGATGGATACCAAAGTAAAATAAAACAATGAGATAACCAAAGGTTTATCCAATGCTTTTACTGTAAAAAACTTGGGCATGTGAAGGCAAATTCCTGGAGAAGATCAAAACAGGAACAAGCAAGTTATGTAGAGCAAGAAGATGAGATCAAATTGTTGATGGAGTATCAAGAAATTGCAGCAAGCCATAGCAACATTTGGTTTCTAGACAGTGGGTGCTCGAATCATATGACTGGTGTGAAGTCATTGTTCAACGAGATTGATGAAACCTTCAAAAAAAAAGTAACACTTGGAGACAATAAGCAAATTCAAGTGGAAGAGAAGGGCAATGTGGCAGTCAAAGGCAATTCTAGTAATGTGAAACTTCTCTATGATGTTTATTACATTCCAAGTCTGTCACAAAATCTGTTGAGTGTAGGGAAACTCATGGCTACTGGATATTCTATCATGTTCGATAATGCCTCATGTGTGATCAAATATAAAAAATCAGACCAAACTATAGTTTACGTTTGCATAACACCAAACAAGTTATTCCCACTTGTTATTTCTGACGTTCAAAACTATGCACTTGCTGTCAAAGAAACCAGTGAGTTGAGATTATGGCATTTGAGGTATGGACATTTAAATGTCAAAGGTTTGAAATTATTATGTCAAAAGAAAATGGTTGATGGATTCCCTATAAAATTGAGTCTTTAGATATATGTGAAGGGTGTATATATGGAAAACAATGTAAAAAGCCATTTCTTGTGGGGAAGTCTAGAAGGGCAATGAAGTGCGTTGAACTTGTACATGCTGATGTGGTTGGTCCCATGAAAACTCAATCATTTGGTGGGAGTAGATATTTTTTATTATTTACAGATGATTGTAGCCGAATGAGTTGGGTTTACTTCTTACAATTCAAGTGAGAAATATTTGAAAAATTCAAAAGTTTCAAGGTACTTGTGGAGAAGCAAACTGGAAGATGCATCAAGGCTCTGCTTACAGATAGAGGCGGTGAATTTGTATCACATGAATTTAATAGTTTTTGTGAAGAACATGGTCTAAGAACAGAGCTGACTACTCCATACACTCCAGAGAAGAACGGTGTTGCTGAACGAAAAAATCGGACGGTTGTGGAAATGGCAAGAAACATGTTGAAAGCTAAAGGACTTCCGAATCAATTATGGGCAGAAGCTGTGTCAACTGCAGTCTACTTGTTGGATTTGTCACCAAAAAAGGGTTGTTCTCAATAAAACACCATATGAGGCTTGGTACGGAAAAAGACATTGGGTAAGCCACTTAAAGGTTTTTTGTTGTGTTGCTTATACTTTAGTTGACTCACATAAACCCAACAAACTTGATGAAAAATCAACAAAATGCATTTTTATTGGTTATTGTTCTGAGTCCAAAGCTTACATGTTGTATAGTCATTATGATGGAAAAATAATAATCAGTAGAAATATGATTTTCAATGAGGATGCAAGCTGGTCTTGGGAAGAAAATGTAGGTTATGTCAAGTTTGAAATTAAAAGTAAAGAAGCAGCTCCACAGATTAAAGTGTTAAAAACCCCTTCTCCAAATCCGTCATCTCCTCCAACTTCGTCAAGTGCATCTTCAAATGGTAGTATTTCCTCCGATGATGAGACTCCTTCAAAGAAATTCAATACTTTAGATGAGATTTATGCATCTACGCAAGCCTTGTTTGTTGCTGATCCTACAACTTTCAAAGAAGAAACAGACAAAGAGGAATGGCGAATTGCAATGAAAGAAAAAATTGCATCAATACAACATAATGAGACATAGGAGCTTGTAGATCTTCCTAAAGACAGAAGAGTCGTTGGTGTTAAATGGGTCTTTAGAACCATGTTCGACGTAGATGGAAACATTCAAATGCACAAAGCATGTCTAGTGGCTAAAGGATATTCACAATAACCCGGTGTACATTTTGATGATACTTTCTCTCCGGTTGCACGGTTTGAAATCATCAGGATTGTTTTGGCGTTGGCTACACATTTAAAAAAGACAGTGTATCAGTTCGATGTTAAGTCGACTTTTCTAAATGGTGATTTACAAGATGAGGTCTATGTTGCTCAACCTGACGGATTCACAATCGAATGCAAAGAAGAAAAAGTGTACAAGCTACGAAAAGCTCATTATGGGCCGAAGCAAGCTCTACGCGCATGGTACAACAAAATCGATGCATAATTTCTCAAAAATGGTTTTGAAAGAAGCAAGTATCATCCCAATCTTTATTTTAAACAACAACATACCCATTATTTTCTCATTATTTGCCTTTACGTTGATGACATGATTTATATGGGTTCCTCAAGCCTTATAAATGAATTCAAAGCTTGTATGAAAAAGGAATTTGAAATGACGGATCTTGGAGCATTTCAATTTTTTCTTGGACTTGAGGTGAAGCAGGTTGAAGATGGAATCTTTGTGTCGCAAAAGAAATATGTTGCTGATTTACTTAAAAAAATTAAAGATGACTGCGTGCAAAATTGAAGCAACACCTATGAATTTGAATGAAACGTTGAAGAATAATGATGGTATTGAAGCAACAGATGCAAAGAGCTTTAGAATTCTAGTTGGAGGCTTGATTTACTTGACTAATACGCGGACAAACATTTATTTTGCTGTTGGAGTTTTTTCAAGGTTCATGCACTATCCATCAAGGCATCATTTTGGCGCTATAAAAAGAGTCTTACGGCATATTACTGGAACTCTTAATTTTAGGCAATGGTATGCCAATATTTCAAAGTTCAATTTGAGTGGTTATATAGATAGTGATTGGGCTGGATGTTTGGAGGATAGAAGAAGCTCGTCAGGTTATGTCTTTGGCTTTGGATCAGGTTCTGTTTGTTGGAGTTCTAAAAAACAAGCTACAACATCCCTGTCTTCATCGAAAGTTAAATATACAGCTGTAACTTCATCAGCTTGTCAAGTTCTATGGTTAAGAAGGATCCTAGCCAATATCATTATAAAGCATAAGGAAGCGAATGCAATCTACTGTGATGATCAAGCAGCGATCTCCATGTCCAAGAATCCATCCTTTCATGGAAGAACAAAGCATATAGATATTTGGGTACACTTTATTCATGATATTGTGTCTGATGGATCAATTATTCTGAAATATTGCAATACAAATGAGTAAATGCCAGATATATTAACGAAGTCTCTTCCTAAAGATAAACATGCTTACTTCAGACAACAACTCGCCGTTTGTAACTTTGAATCAAGGGGGAGTGTTGAAGAATGATTCAAAGTATCATATTTTTAGTATTGACTGTTTTGGTTCCTTATTTTTCTGATTTTATTGTTATTTACGTGCAGTAGTGGTTCCTTTTTTTCAGTTAGTTTGTTGTGTTGTCAAGCCTATATAAGGCATATGTTTGTTCCATTCAAAGCATTGAATAAAAGCAAAACGTTATGTCATCTCAAAGTCCACTGTTTCTTCTTTATTTTTCTACACAAGCTACTAGGTTTTACTGAAGCTGAATGCCAAAACATAAAGTACTTTGTTGGTCTCATTTATGTTGACTTAGAGTTAATCATTGATGACTTGTGCCTTCTCAGATGTGGCTGAAACAAATCGACCACATGCTCCTATATGATCCAAATATGTGAGATCATCTTCCCAATAAGGTATGATTCACATTCCTTTTCACTCATTTAATATTCATCATGCATTATTCTACCATTATAAAAGATCATATTTTTTAGTTGCGTTACATTCTATTTGGTAGACATATTGATACTAAAAAAAATTATTTATGAGGATTTGTTTACATGTGCCCAAAAGACCATGAGTTATCTATTTTTTCAATCACTAATCACCAGATTGTGCAAGGAAGCACAAGTGGTTGTGGCTGATTCTGGGCATGTATTAAAAGATATGGGCACCACTACACATCGTACGATCAAGACAATGATCCTTCCAAAAGAGTTGTCTAAGGACCAAGATGATGAAGGAATAGAGACTACCACAAATTCTACTCTTACTACAACCACTACTTCTGTACCAATGAGTGGTCTTATCTTACAAGAGCTACAAGGTACCATGAAATTGCTTGCAGAAAAATAGGAAGACATTATTTCAATGCTAACTCATACCTTGCAGAATCAATCCCAAATTCATCGAGCTAAAGTCTCATTTTGGAAGTATGTTCAAAAACAAGGTTAGTTGCTTTGTTTCCTACATTCTCGAGTCAAGTTTGGAGGACTTAGCCCAATCACTAATTAGTGACACTGAGAACTGTTCAACCAGCACTGAGGAAGCATCAGAAAATGATGAAGATGATGTTGATGAAAAGACTATTACTAAAGAGGATGACAATACCGAGGACATCGTTAATGAAAAGAGAATGATGCTAAAGAATACGAGGACATTAAAATTGTGGATATGAATGAAGAGAAAACTAGCAAGAAAGATGAAGAGAAAAGTTTGAATAAAGAGGATCAAGCATGACAAAAAATCTTGTTAATTTCATGATTTGAATTATGATAAGGGTTCTCACTATACTACAACTAAAAAGGAATGACATCTTGCTACTACCATAATTATAATGAGATTGCTGAGAGAGTTACAAACAAATGAGTAATTGAAGAGGACATTATTGCACCAGTAGGTGACGCTGAAGGAACGTTGGGTGAAACAATGGTGCACAAACCAATACCCAAGCCCTAGGAAAAAGTTGATGTTACAACATCTTCAACTCCCTCCCCTTTTATTGTTGTGGCCACTGTTACCACATCACCAGCCAGTAAGAAAATAAAGTTGAGAGTAAAAGAAAAAGTCAATGCTAAGAAGACTCATCCCACTTTTGTGACCCCAAGGAAAAACTATTAAGGGAGTATTGTTTTTCCCTCTCCCATTTAGTTTCATTTATATTTTTAGTGTTTCTTTTGCATGCATGGAGGACAATACACCTCTTATGTTTTGGGGGTGTTATCCATTTGTGTTGTTTATATTGTGTCATGTTGTATTTGTTGTATATTGTCTGTAGTGTTATTTATAGTCTTTAATGCATTTAAGAATTTTCATATATAATTGCATGAATGATATTGTTAGATTAATGAAGTTTATAAATGAAATTTTGATGATGCTCGATGATGAATAATTAATTGTGAAATGCCATAGGAATGTCTTAGAAAGTTATTAGAATTAAGATCTATTGAAACCTTTTTTACATTATAGGTATATGTTTCTAATACTTAGAGGCCTTAGAAATCTTTGAACTATAATTGATATGACCACTAATAGCAAGGACCCAGAGGAGTTTCTTGGTGGTCCTATTACACGTGTAAGGGCCAAGAAATTTCAAACAACCATGGAAAATTTGTTTTCATTTAGCTTAGGGCATGTGGATGAAGGCCAATAATAAGGGAAAACCATTTTATTTTACTTGTGCACGAATTTGCATGAGTAATTAATAATGTATAACCTTTATAACATTTAATAAGCATATTATTCATTCAAGCATGCATTGCATTTAAGCTTTTACTTCATTTAGGGAAGTAGTTCATTCATGCATTTAGATCATTTAATAAGCTACTTTATTCAAGTAAGCATGATCATTGAATAAAGTTAGTTCATTAATCAAACTAGTTCATTCATTAAACTAGTGTATTAATCGAACTAATTCTTAATTGTTTCATGCATATTGTTTTATTTAAAGTTTGAATAATCCCATCTTTGTGTCTAGGTGCATGTCGTGTGGATGAAGCTTGAACTGAGGAGGATTCTTTTCATCTTCAACCAAGAGACAAGGCAATGAAGGCCATATTTACTCACATATTCAAGTAATTCAAGGCCATTATCATCCAATTTAAGGGAATGTTTGTAACCTTCAAGGAGAAAGAAACAAAAACTTAAATTATTTCACTTATTATAAAAATTAAGCATAGAATGGGAAGAATGGTCAACATGGAGGTTTATGAGCATTCAAGGACTAAATTCATTCCACTTTATTTCATATTCAAGAAAAACAAGAAAGCACCATAATCTCCACCCCTTTGATGATCTTGAGGCCAAATTCAGTCCTAAAATTGACTACATTCATCCAAGAACTCTATCTTTTTTCCACCAAGGAAGAAGAAGAGATATAAGCAATTTAAAAGCATTTAACACCATTATTATGAGTATTTAGTCTCTTTTGTAAACTATTTGTATTTAAGCCTAGAAGTACTATAAATAGGCACATTTGAAATCATTTTGGAAAAAACTTTGATCATAATATACTTTTGGAGA